CTCACCTCACCCCCGCAACCACCCTTGCTCTCATCCCCACAGCCACCCTCATCCCCATCCCCACAGCCACTCTCACTCCCTCCCCACGGCCGCCCTCCCCACCGCCCTCGCACCCCACTCCCCACGGCTCCCCTCACCTCTCTCCCCGGGGGCCGCAGCCCCAAGGCTCATGGTGGAGCCACAGCTCTGCTGCCCCTGCTCCGCCGGGCGGGTAGAAAGCCGCCGGGCTGCTTCCTCAGCAAAATCCCCACCGGCTGGGCCAGGCATCACGAGGGCCCCAGGGGAAGTGGCGCTGGGCCAGCTGGCCCGGAGGTTGCACAAGCCCCTCCGGGACGGGGCAGAACTCGGACGGCCGGGGACAGCCTGCTCCCGCAGGGGAAACGACGTGGTGGTGAGTGTCAGGACTCGTTACTGCTGTGCTGTGACTTTCACTTACAAAGTTAGGGCAGGTAAGATCAGACTCATTAAACCAAAACTCGTCACCTTTCAAGAGACGGGAGGACCACGTGGAAAGGAGCCGGAGGTCTGTGAAATGGCAAATGGAGAGGACAGAGGTTGAACAGGGAGCAACTGGTTGTCGTTCCCGAAGAACTTTACTCTGAAGCGACTGGGCAGGGGGTGTGACACAAAGCCAACGGGGATGAAGCAGGTCTGAGCTCAGGACTGGGGGGGCCCTGCGGACGGGTTCCCAGGCCCAGGGCAGACAAATTCCCACCAGGCTGGCTTCTCCCCACACCAGTGGTCCTGGGCAGAAGGTTCCTGCAGGGCCAGGAGCGATGGGGACCAGGACTTCAGCACGAGGGTGACCACAGACCATCTGGAGAAGAAGCTGCAAGAGAGACCCTTGCTCCCCTGCTGATATTTCTCTCCCCTCGGGGCTGCAGCAGTGGTTTTCACAATAGCAATGATGGAGGTTGACCAAGGAAAAGCAAGACCACCAGGGATGTCTCTCCCAAGTGCCATCAATGGCAGTGTGGAAGGGTGCAGGCAGGTTTCTGGGATGGCAGAGAGAAGCAGTCGTGGCTGAGAGTGGTCATGGATCATCACCTCCACAGGGTTCCCGAGGGAACCCAGGGCAGAGCTGAGCCATGCCATAGGGTCAGAGGGACTAAGCAAGGCCAAGGGATGCACCTCTGCCTGCTGCTTTTCTCTTATAAGGGATGGGGAAGAAGATGGTAAGAAAAAGCCAAACCCAACACAATTGGTGGATGGAGGAAAGGTTTTCTCCCTCCACGTGCTTTCCTCTGTGTAGGATGGGACAGTCATGCTGCGGTCCTGCAAAGGTAGGAAAACGTGCTACACCCTGTCCATCCAATATGATCCAGAGCAATCCCTGCTCCCACAGGGACTGGTCCTTTCCTTTCCTGGATACAGGGAAGGTGATGCTTAGCATAGACCTGTAGGACCTTTCTTTGTGCTCGTCTCCCCAGCTGCCTCTGAGATCACACAGACCCTCCTTTTTCTTAATTTCTAGAGGGTCCGGCCAAGCATTTGGAAATATACCCTTGCAGGTTCAAAATAAACATATTAATGGATTGCAAATGAAGGTTCCAGCTGAATATGTGCCAGTGGCTCCGTGTCATGCCTGTGATGCAGAGTTATTATAAATGCAGTGCAGGTAGCTAATAAAAATGATCATTAAATTAACCCCAGCACTTTCCTGGAGCTAAAGATGACACTTCTGGTTGATGCAGCATCTCTTCAAACAGCTGGAAGTTGCTACGTTCCCTATAGATGGCTTCTCTGGGCTTCAGAGAGAGCATCGTCCATCAAACACCTAGACAAAAAGTCCATCGTGCTTGTCCTCTGTAAGAGCCCTGCCCTGGCACAGTCTGCGTGAATATTTGGTGAAGAACCAGGAGTGAGAGCTTTTTGATGTCACATTGGAGAGTAGGAAGAAGCCTGTGATTTTAGAAAAGGAGGAACCTGCGGGTTTGCATGCAGCCTGGGAAAGGGAAGGATATATCGTGCGAGAGGAGTGAGAAAACATCTGCGATTCTCACTGTGAGTCAGCGCTGGATTTGCAGGCAGAGGATGAAAGCTTTGCTAACAAGGATTGAAGCCTTGTGGCTGACTGGCTTAGGCTTCAAAAACTAAACGGTGAAACAGCGCGTTTCCAAACGGAGATGGGAGCAGAGCACACTGTCACTCTCTGCGAACAAAATGACGGGACAGCAGATGCTGTAAGAGGAAGCTCTGTCTCAGCAGGGCGACGGGCACAAGAACTGTTCAGAGCCTGAACGGGCAGAAAAAAAATACATCCACCGTGTGTCTGGGGGAAGGATCAAACACCACAGCAGGCTTCGTCTCACCACAGTTGAGCTAAACCTGCGCTCACCATCCAGGTTTCCCTCTGCTACTGGGGTAAGGCACAGAACCACGGTATGACTAGGGTGGGAAGGGACCTCTGGGGGTCTCTGGTCCAGCCTTCCACTTGGAGCAGGATGTCGATCAGTTGCTCGGCATCTTGTCCCATCCACAGTTGACTGTCTCCCAGGATGGAGATCGTCCACCTCTCTGGGACTCTGTGTACTGTTTGATCCCCTTCACAGGGCAATTTCTTTTCCTAACATCTAATCAGAACTTTCCTCCTTGCCACTTGCATTTGTTGCCTCTCACTCTGCACCTCTGGGAAGTGGCTGGCTCTGTCTGGTGTGCACCATCCCGTGACATGGTAGAAGAAAGCAAGGAGGTCTCCATTTAGCCCTCCCCTGAAGACTTAAACTCAGTTTCTCTCACCCTCTCCTCCTATGTCATGTGCCTGAGCTCCCTTAATCGTCCTGGTGGCTTTCACTGGACTTACTCCAGTATATCAGTGTCTTTCCTGTATTTGGGAGTCTGAAACCAGACACAGTTCCAGGCCCAACACACCTGTTCTGGACACCCTTCTCAAGAGGGTCTGGGCTCTCTTCTAGCAGATCAACACCCCAAGAGATAGGGCTCATGGTGACGGGATGGTAAAATAACATGTAATTCATATGCTGGGACTTGAATTCAGGTTTCCTGAAGCTGTGGGACCTGAAAGTTGTCCTTTCAGAGAAAGAGATGGGAGCAGCAGAATGTCACCTTGGGTCCTCCCAGCCCAGCATCCTGCCCCCCACATTGAGCAGCAGCCGGGGCACAGCGAAGGGTGTGAGATCGGGGCACACGCAGAGTGAATATTCTTTTGTAGCTCAGAGACTTCTTGAACCAAAGGTAGTATCTTTGTCCTGAGTAAACCTCAAGAGATTTTCCTTCCACAGATTTGTCCTATGGGGTTTCTTAACCCCTATTGACATTGAGCAGCCACAGCAATGTGTGGAAGCAGCTTAATGCCAAGTTGAGGGAGGAAGCATCTCCCTTTTACTGATTTTACCTCCTGCTAATTTCACTTCATGCCCCTGTTCTTGTTCTCCTTGTCCCTCATAGCTGTGTATACCTCAGTCATATGCACCTCAGTTGTTCCTTCCAGGCTGAAGACTCCCAGTCTATGTAGTTATTCTTCATGCAGCAGCCAGTCTGGACCTCTGGTCATCCTTGCTGCCCTTCTGTGAATTTTAGGTTGGGTTTTTTTCAGGTCTATTGTATTCTGTTTGAGATGGATTATTCCTGAGTGGCATTAGCCCATGCAGAGCCCACTGCTGCCTATGGAAAATGAGTATTGTTGTTTCCCCTATGGATCATGTTACATTTGTATTGTGCAATTTCATCTGCTATTTTACTGCCTGGTGAAGGTGAGATCTTCAGTCAGCCTTCTGGGACCACCTTTTTTCCCCATATTTCCTAGGACCACATCCAAATGTCTTATGAGGTCCATCTCCTTTGCATTTACCAAGACCAAGTATCCTCTCTGGTATCGCAGATCCAGCTATTTACATGCCTGATAATGTAATCACCTGCCATGGTGGCCTGCAAAAAGCAAATAAACTCCAATACCTACACCTGAGATGACAGAAGGCTCCTTCCAAAACACTGCTCAAATGCAAGATTATCCTGAGATCTGAGCTGAGAAAAGCATTTCACTGGGGCTCGAGTGGAAGAACTACAAGTCTGATCAGGCCACTGTCAACCAACTGGATAAATCCAGATTTGGAGTGCTTAGGACCACATCATAACTACTGCAACCACAAAACCCAAATTGTTGACCCAATATACACTGACTCTGACAGGTCAACAGGATCCAAGAAACTTTATATGAGAGTAAAACTCACTTGGGGGTCCTGGCTTTGGATCTGGTGGTGTCTGCAAGCACTGCTCTACTAGACTGCATGGCTCAATCCCCCACAGTCACTGCCTCTCCCCGCAAACTTCTCCCCAAGCCCCTGGTCCACAGATGTCACTGCCCTCCCATATGCCCAGGCTTGGGCATCTGCTGGGCTTGGCAATTCTCTTGGTGGACATCAGTTTCTCCACATGCAGATCTGGCTCAAGTTGTAACCACCCCTTCCATTTGAACCGAGGTTTGATATACCAGTGACAAGAACAGCTTAGGTGAAGGCTGAGTTATATCAACCTGACGCACA